CCCGACCCCCCGCCGTCTAGTTAAGTAAATAAAGTGAAGAAATCCGCTAGGGCACCCCCCGCCAGGTCGCAATGCCTGACGGAGGGTGCCCGAGGCAGGGAAGGTTTTCTTCATTCACCCCTTCGCCTACACGGAGCTTTTCTTAATTACATCAACGTAACGTCCGGCACGCTTGCATAGTATACCGGCCAACACGACGAACTTTTTTCCCGTCCGATCCTGGGATCGAACTCGTTACCTTTGCGGTACAAAGCCATCACGCTAACCGTTACGCCACACAACCGGTGACGAACTCGGCTTTTTTTCGTGCTTATGACTTGTTAAATCGTCGCCGGTTGAATTATTTTCTGGCTTATCTATATCGAGTCTACATAAGCCAGTTTGCGGCGGTGTTTCGGTGTGATCAGCATGGAGTAGCGGGCTAAGAGGAGTGAATGGGATAGAAGATTGGAAGGATATGGTAGCAGGTTCGAGACGGCAGGTAGGGTAAAAAATAAAAAATCGAGGTAAGCGAATTAATTGTAAAATTGTAGGGTAGCTAATCCCATCCCGACCCCTTGCGTCAGGGTTTACCGAATTCCGGTTACCTGACGTTCAGGGCTCCGGTTACCTTAAACCAGGGTTCTATGGTTAGGTAACCGCAGAACCTGGGGGTTAAAAAAATCCCTTAACTAGCGGGATTTAAATAAGATAATAAATATGTTAAATTAAGTAAAAAAAGTGATAATAGAGAAAAAGAAAAAATTCTAAGTCTTTAAGATGTATTTTTTTTATAAGTTAAAAAGCAAAAATAATTAATATAAGTTATTAGGTATTAACTAATATGAACTAATTATTATGCAGTCTAAATTAATTAAAGTGCTCATTTTTCTTAAAGTTACACGGTATATAAGAAAAGAAAAAAATAGTAAGATCTAAGGAAATATTTTTTCTAAGTTAAGTAGAACTGATACGTATTATATATATTACTTAAAATACACTGATTAATTTATCTAATTGCAATAGAGCAGTTGAAATAAGTCTTTGTGCAAATAATTAATTTAATTATGAGCAAAATTGCAAACACAATCTTAGCCTTTATAATGAAGTAATAAAATAATAAAGTCATTAAATTAATAAATTGCTTATATTTATTAAAGTTGAAAAAATACATAAAAAAATATATTTTTCTTAGTTAAGTAAAACTAACTAACACTAGTTATACTTATTAATTAAATTGAACTAATTAATTAATCTGTTTATCACAGAGTTGTTGAAATAAATAATTAGTCTTTGAGCCATTAAATAATTCTAAGTAAAATTGCAAAGACAATCTAATAAAGTGCTCATATTAACTAAAGTATATAGCTAATTAAAAACATGAAATATCAATTAAAAGATATAATTACAATAACTTTATTAACATTGTATAATACAATAATTTCAACATATTAGTAGCTAATTTCAAATTAAACTTTTAAAATATTAATATTTTCCACTTCGAACTGTTTAAAAAGTCATGGATTTTCACTCAAATTAAACTTGTCTAAAACATAAATTTTTTCTTTTTATGTTTCATGCTAAAAACTCATGCATATATATCCATGGCTTTTTACTCAATTCGTGGATTTCTAAACTGAACTTTAAATTTGCTTAATTGAAATTGACTCGAATGTTAATGGTTGATATATAATTGAACTTGTGTAATTTAATATCACTGAAATTGATAAAAATTGAATTAAATTAAACACTTACAGATAAAGTTAAATAATTTTATTTGATGGCATTACACAAATTTATATATAAGATAGATCGTTACATTACAAATATTAATTATATTATTATAACATACTCTTACTCAAACTACAATAAAACAGCATTTATAAATAATAATTTTTATTTATTAGAAAGATTAATTACAATTGCTATTATTAGAAACATTATTATTAATTATGATTACTACTATTATATAAACATGTGAAAATTCAAATCATGAATTAGACATGAAATAATAAAAGGAAAAATGTGTGTTTTTGACATGTTTATATTGAGTAAAAATCCATGGTTTAGTAAATAATGAATAAAAAATTACATGATTAAACGAGTCAATATATTTGTATATCTTGACAAGTGATTTGGGACCTGTCTAATTCTTAAATATATACTTAAATATAATATATATACTGCCAATCGGTTGTTGTTCACTTTACTTTGTCTTGATTTATCTAATTGCAGAAGACATCGAAGTCATCAGAGGCCAGAAGTTTAAGACATCCAAACACGACAATGAGGTTTATCGGTTGCCGGTCACCTCACTCTGGTCTTATTTCGTCAGAATTGATAAATGAATTTCTCCCATATTACCTATAAAATGTAAAGACATAAATACTTATGTAATTCAGTGAGTGGTGTATAAAAAAAATTACATGAGCAAATGAGTTAATGTGTTTGCATATCTAGCAAATGATCGAGAGCCTAAAGACTCACAATGAAAGAAAACAATAATGGTATGAATAAAACAACGAATTTAAAAGGTTAACAATAATTGTATTCAATATTTAGATAAATGTATTACAAACATTTAGGTTCTTGACATTGGCTTCTCAATGCGACACATAGTAGAATCTTGACAAGTGTTTTGGGACAGCACGATCAGCAGTACTAGTCAAATTAGCAATTCGATACAACCTGTAAGAAAGATTTATTAATATTGTAATAAAATAATATTTTACAATAATTAAAATACTATAAACTAAATATAAAACTATTTGAACAAAACATTAGTCAATTTACATGAATACAAATCAAGGGGCAAGAAACCATAGGGGGCAAATGCAGGGGCCTAAGGGACCAGTGTTCGCAAGTATAGACCCAGTGTTCGCAAGTATAGACCCAGTGTTCGCAAGTATAGACCCAGTGTTCGCAAGTATAGACCCAGTGTTCGCAAGTATAGACCCAGTGTTCGCAAGTATAGACCCAGTGTTCGCAAGTATAGACCCAGTGTTCGCAAGTATAGACCCAGTGTTCGCAAGTATAGACCCAGTGTTCGCAAGTATAGACCCAGTGTTCGCAAGTATAGACCCAGTGTTCGCAAGTATAGACCCAGTGTTCGCAAGTATAGACCCAGTTCGCAAGTATAGGCCGGGGTTCGCAAGTATAGGCCGGGGATCGCAAGTATAGGCCGGGGATCGCAAGTATAGGCCGGGGATCGCAAGTATAGGCCGGGGATCGCAAGTATAGACCCGGGGATCGCAAGTATAGACCGGGGATCGCAAGTATAGACCGGGGTTCACAAGTATAGACCGGGGTTCACAAGTATAGACCGGGGTTCACAAGTATAGACCGGGGTTCACAAGTATAGACCGGGGTTCACAAGTATAGACCGGGGTTCACAAGTATAGACCGGGGTTCACAAGTATAGACCGGGGTTCACAAGTACAGACCAGAGTTCACAAGTATAGACCAGAGTTTACAAGTATAGACCACGGGGTATAAGCAGAGAACAGGCTGCAGGCCATTCGAGCAAGATATTCGAGTAGGATGAACCAGAGTACAATTCATTCAAGAGAAAAGTTAAAGGGAAGCCTAAAGTTATGTTAAATATGCTTAGCAAATAGATCAATAAATTAGTATATATACATATTAAATATAAAATATTCTAATACTTATATTTGTTTGCGCAACAAATGTTTTAATATCCAAAGTGCTATATCCGCAGTCTTCACAATGGAGCCACTCGGTTGCTGTTCACTTCACATTGTCTTCATCTATCGGAACTGACGTTTGACATTCTTTTATTATACCTATAACATTAAAATAGTTTTAAATATTTATGCAATTTAAGTAACATATTTTATAAGTGAAGAATTAATGGAAATTAAAACAACACATTGAACTAGATACAAAAATGTATTTATTTAATAATTAGATGAATATATTATAAGTATTAAAGTCATCCTTGATTGAACGCATAAATGAATTTTGCACTTTCCAATGCTAACACATCAGCATGTTTTATCTTGTCTAGAGACTCCGTTGTTAATGTTTGTGACAGCAAGATAGGTCCAATGCAGGCAGGTGTGTGTCATTGTTTGCCCTGTGAACAAAATTACCCAATTAATAGTAATTCAGTCTACTTTATAATACATTATAAAAAGTAACTCACCAAGAGTTTGTTTTCTGAGTTTCACTAAGTCTTCCTAAGTAAACTGCACCGTGCAAAATTTATAAGAATTATTATTCCAACTTATGCAACTTAAGCGACGAAGGCAGGAGGTTCAGTGGGGGAGAATTGAATCTGGAACAGAAAGCAAAAGGTTAGAATACATTTTGATTACTACTATTAATAAATGTTATTATTAATATTGATTATCATGATCACTGATTACATGAATCATGGACAAAGTGAAACTACTGACAATGGTGGGCTTCAATTGTCAAGACATGGGAAAACGAAGACTGTAGTAGTCATCGAAATCAGGGGGGCACCATGAGTTATCAATTATCAACAAGAAAGATCATCAAGATACAACAAGCAATCACATTCAAAGATACATTGGAGGACAAGACCCTGAGAATTGCACAAAGCAACCAAGACGCGGTGGCAAACATTATGGGCATTAAAATAAGGCTATAGTCAAAACAAGCAAACCGGGGAGGCAAAAATGCAGGTCATTCGATAAGGCATTGGAGAACCAGATAACCAAGTGGAAGAGGCAAACCTTCTGGGCATTTAATAAGGCATTGGAGGACAAAGACGAGGAGGCAAAAAACAGGCAATTGGACAAAGCAACCAAGACGGGAGGCAAAAAACAGGCAATTGGACAAAGTAACCAAGACGGGAGGCAAACATAATGGGCAATAAAATAAGGCTCTAGACAAAGCAACCAAAATGGGGAGGCAAGTATTCTGGGCATTGGTCAAGGCAACAAAATCGGGGAGGCAAAAATCCTGGGCATTCAAAGGTGCAATCAAGGCAATCGACTTTCTCTTCACAATGAAGTCCATTGATGTCAGTCACTTCACACTGTTTTGCACTGTCGCATGAACTTATGAAGTTTCTCCGGAGCATGAATACTTGAAATGGTCCCTGATGAAGAGGTCGATGTAGTGTCTATTCCGTGCGTTGGTGGAATTGGAAGAATCTGAAAAAAAAATACATGTTAGCGTTCCAAACATTGTTGCTATAGACAGATACATACTGTATGATTAGAGAGAGTAGTTCCTGACGAAGAGGTTGATATGGTGTCTTTTTGATGCGTTGATGGTGGAATTTGAAGGATCTGTAAAAAAAAATACATGTTAGCAATGCAAACATTATTATTGTTATAGACAGATACATACTGAATTATTAGAGAGAGAAGTCCCTGACGAAGGGGTTGATGTGGTGTCTATTCGATGGAATGATGTTGCAATTGGAAGAATCTGAAAAAAAAATACATGTTAGCGTTCCAAACATTGTTGCTATAGACAGATACATACTGTATGATTAGAGAGAGTAGTTCCTGACGAAGAGGTTGATGTGGTGTCTATTTGGTGCGTTGATAGTGGAATTGGAAGAATCTGAAAAAAGAATACATGTTAGCAATGCAAACATTATTATTGTTATAGGCAGATACATACTGTATTATTAGAGAGAGAAGTCCCTGATGAAGAGGTTGATGTGGTGTCTATTTGATGCGTTGATAGTGGAACTGGAAGAATCTGAAAAAAGAATACATGTTAGCAATGCAGACATTATTATTGTTATAGGCAGATACATACTGTATTATTAGAGGTCGATGTGGTGTCTATTCGGTGCGTTGATGGAATTGGAAAAATCTGAAAAAAAAATACATGTTAGTAATGCAGACATCATTGTTCTTATAGACAGATACATACTGTATTATTAGAGAGAGAAGTCCCTGATGAAGAGGCTGATGTGTCTATTTGGTGCGTTGATAGTGGAATTGAAAGAATCTGAAAAAAGAATACATGTTAGCGACGCAGACATTTTTGTTGTTATAGACAGATACATACTGTATTATTAGAGAGAGAAGTCCCTGATGAAGAGGTCGATCTGGTGTCTATTTGGTGCGTTGATAGTGGAATTGGAAAAATCTGAAAAAAGAATACATGTTAGCAATGCAGACGTCTTGTTCTTATAGACAGATACATACTGTATTATTAGAGAGAGAAGTCCCTGATGAAGAGGTTGATGTATCTATTTGGTGCGTTGATAGTGGAATTGGAAGAATTTGAAAAAAGAATACATGTTAGCGACGCAGACATTTTTGTTGTTATAGACAGATACATACTGTATGATTAGAGAGAGTAGTTCCTGACGAAGAGGTTGATATGGTGTCTATTTGATGCGTTGATGGTGGAATTGGAAGAATCTGAAAAAAGAATACATGTTAGCAATGCAAACATTATTATTGTTATAGGCAGATACATACTGTATTATTAGAGAGAGAAGTCCCTGATGAAGAGGTTGATGTGGTGTCTATTTGGTGCGTTGATAGTGGAATTGGAAGAATCTGAAAAAAGAATACATGTTAGCAATGCAGACATCTTGTTCTTATAGACAGATACATACTGTATTATTAGAGAGAGAAGTTCCTGATGAAGAGGTTGATGTGTCTATTTGGTTCGTTGATAGTGGAATTGGAAGAATCTGAAAAAAGAATACATGTTAGCGATGCAGACATTTTTGTTGTTATAGACAGATACATACTGAATTATTAGAGAGAGAAGTCCCTGACAAAGGGGTCGATGTGGTGTCAATTCGGTGGAATGATGTTGGAATTGGAAGAATCTGAAATAAAAAAATACATGTTAGCGTTCCAAACATTGTTGTTATAGACAGATACATACTGTATTATTAGAGGTCGATGTGGTGTCTATTCGATGGAATTGGAAGAATCTGAAAAAAAATATATGTTAGCAATACAGACATCATTGTTCTTATAGACAGATACATACTGTATTATTAGAGAGAGAAGTCCCTGATGAAGAAGTTGATGTGGTGTCTATTTGGTGCGTTGATAGTGGAATTGGAAGAATCTGAAAAAAGAATACATGTTAGCAATGCAGACATTATTATTGTTATAGGCAGATACATACTGTATTATTAGAGAGAGAAGTCCCTGATGAAGAGGTTGATGTGGTGTCTATTTGGTGCGTTGATAGTGGAATTAGAAGAATCTGAAAAAAGAATACATGTTAGCAATGCAGACATTATTATTGTTATAGGCAGATACATACAGTATTATTAGAGGTCGATGTGGTGTCTATTCGGTGCGTTGATGTTGGAATTGGAAGAATCTGAAAAAAAAAATACATGTTAGCGTTCCAAATATTGTTGTTATAGACAGATACATACTGTATTATTAGAGGTCGATGTGGTGTCTATTCGGTGCGTTGATGGTGGAATTGGAAAAATCTGAAAAAAAAATACATGTTAGCGATGCAGACATTTTTGTTGTTATAGACAGATACATACTGTATGATTAGAGATAGAGGTCCATGATGAAGAGGTATACGTGGTGTTTACTCAGTACATTGATGGTTGAATTGAAAGGATCTAAAAAAAAAAAATACATGTTAGCAATGTAGGCATTGCTATTGTTATATAGAAAGATACATACCCAATTATTAGTCAAAGACAGGTTCCTGATAAAGGTGTATTATGGGCAATGCACAAGGCAAACATTCTGTGTATTCGACACGGTATGCAAGAGGTGGAGGCAAACATTCTAGGCATGGGACATGGCAACCAAGAGGGGGAAGCAAACATTCCGGGCATTGGACAAGGCAACAAAGACGAAGAGGCAAAGACCTTTGGATTCATATAAGGCTCATGACAAGGCAACCAAGACAATAAGACAACATTCTGGGCATTGGACACGGTGACCAAGCGAGAGGAAGCAAACAATCTAGGCATCGAACAAGGCAAACATTCTGGGTATTGGACACGGCAATCAAGACTGGGAATCAAACATTCTGGGCATTGTACAACGCAACAAGGACGGAGAGGCTAGAACCTTAGGATTCAAATAAGGCAACCCACGCGGTAAGAAATTTGATAAGGTAACCAAGCAGGAGGGAGGCAAACATTCTGGGCAATCAAGCAATCTGGGTATTGGACAAGGCAACCAAGAGGGAGAGGCAAACATTCTGGGCAATAACCAAGGTAACCAAGCAGGGGAGGCAAACATTCTGGGCAATCAAGCAATCTGGGTATTGGACAAGGCAACCAAGAGGGAGAGGCAAACATTCTGGGCAATCAAAATCAGGACGGCAACAAAGCAAGACATAGCAAAATTTACATTAAACTCATTCAAATAAGGAGGGATTATTAATTCATTCATGAGCAAGACATTCAAACCTGAGCCTTTTTCGTACTGTCTGTCTCCACAGTATTCAAAATTCCCATTAATGTTAGTCACTTCACTTTGTCTTGCACAGTCGGATGAACTTCTACACAGATTATTTGTATAAACAAGTTTTCAAGTCAATCCTGAAGCTTCTCCGGGACATTAACAGTTGAATTGTAAAGATCTGAAAAAAAAACGTGTTAGTAATTCAAGCATTGTTACTTTTACATAGACGCATACTTGAAAATATAAATGTATACAAACAAAGCAGAAGATATATATATATACATTCCGGCAACTCTGCCATAGCATGAATGTTCTCTTTACAATTTAGATCATCATTATTATTGTGTCATTGTCAGGCTTTATGTAATAGCTGCAGCGCTTGATACAATTAACCTGAAAATAAAAAGTTAAATTAATGTGTGGATTTAATGTGCTTTGAGTGTAATAAAATTGCGTTATCTTAAACGATTCACACAATTTAACTTTAGCTAATATATACTATCACTAGCATCGGCAATAAAATATAAAATATATAAGAAAAAATAATCGTATGTCATCTTGTGTGAAATCACTATTCTCTAATCAATTCGTGCCAAATGCGAATCGTCGTTTGTCGCTGGCGATGACGCTACTAATTTTGCCGCCAATTCAAAATGTCATTGACAATTGTATATGACAACGCGATGATGGCGTAAATTCGAATCTGTAAAAGTTATTCTAACTTCAAAATAATATTCAAAATCTAATCAATATTAAAAAAAAAACATTGCACAATTTGCAATTTGTTGCACAATGTAACAATAATGTTCAAGAACTTGCACTGGTTTCAAACGTATTTATCGATTGCAAATAGCAAGAACGCGCAGTGTTATGTCGCATTGCGTAATTTGAAATGTTAATAAAACTGCATCTACGATCATTTAATTAACTAACAATAATAATTAAACAAGAACCACTAAGCTGTCGCACACTATTCAATTAACATACACAACAAAAATCACTATATCACTGCCTTGAAATATTAAAATACAATTATTTACCGAGGAATTTTCCTCCTTCAGCATCTTTATCTACTTTTTCGATGTTCACTCCATGATGGCCGACAAGAGAAAGGACAGAATCCTTGTTTTCGCGCCAGTGGTGCGGCTGCAGCGCCATCTATCTGCGCGTCACATGAAACAGACTTTTGACAGTTAGTTCGTCGGTCAATGACAGCCGAGCGGTGGCGGTAGCGCTGGCGGTGGCGTCAAAATCAAACTGAATTTAACGAATGATTAAATTCAAAACGACCAGCAAATATATTTATCAGAATCTTCCAGTTTTTGGGTTGCGAGTCAGCGTGTCAAACAAAGCTTAATACTGAGGTCCATAAACTATTTCAGAGAAAGAAATAGAAAATCGCTGCTAGTTTAATAATTGAATTATTAATAATTACACAGTATGCTTCAAATCGTCTTGAAAATGTAGTAAATAGTTCAAAAAAGTTGTATGTTGTGTGAAAATGGTTTAAATAGTCTTGAAAATGTTGTAAATAAATCAAAAATGTTGTAGGTTATCTGAAAATGCTTTAAATCGTCTTGAAAATGTTGTAAATAGATAAAAAATGTTGTAGGTTGTCTGATAATGCTTTAAATCGTCCTGAAAATGTTGTCAAATGCCACGACATTTGTTGATTAAATATTGCCAATGCCTTGAAAATGTTGTGAATGGATATACAAAAAATGTTGTAAGTTGTATGATAATGCTTTAAATCGTTTCAAAAATGTGGGCAAATCGTCCTGAAAATGTATATACATGAATCGACATAACGTTCTACTTGACAATCCGCCTAAGTAATTAATATATCTCTCTGTATAGACAAAACTTCTAGTCTTTGGTAGAACACCAACTCGATCAACAGAATTCTTTGCCTCGATCAAATTATGTATCGATTACCATCAACGTCTTCTCAGTTGCATTATGTATGAACTGTCTTAAAATAATTTCATAAACATCATTGGAAATCTAGAGTTCAGTGCTACGTTTTTAAAGTTAAGTCCGGTATATATGTTTTAGTATTTCACTGTGTATAACATTGTTTATGATGATACCCTAACGAAAGTTGTAATGGACTAGCGGGTGAAAAGGATCTGGTTGAAAATGTCAGGGTAGCACGATCGAGACATGAATGAAACTTAAAGAAAAGAGGTATTTGTTTCATAAGTTCAGTAAAATTCACCCATAGGTTTCTTTAATCAAAATGTAACAATTATATATTAATTAATTATTATTGATGAAAGAATTTTGTTTTTCTCCAGAATTTTTTTTCCAACATTTTTTTTCCATAATTAAAAAAAAATTTGGAAAAAAAAATGGGAGAAAAAAAAATGGAAAAAAATTACAGGTCATAAGAATTATATAAACTGAATGGCAAAATTGAAATTATTTATTTATAGTATATTAATGAGTTTTAGAACTTTAGCAAAAATTAAAATTAAAATCTAAATTATTTCTGATATACAAAAAAAATTTAGACAAAAAAATCCAAAAGCAATTTTTTCGTCAGCATAAGCAGAAAGTTTTTTGAATCATTCAAATCGGATGCTTAGTTCTCTCAAAAACTGCAATTTTTTGTACATTTAGCAGCGTATCTTATAAACGGTTGGACCTGCTTTTGTCAAAAACTAATCACCACTTCTCCGCATCATTATTAATTGAATATTTTTAGATCATTCAAATCGAACACTTCATTCTCTCAAAATTTCGATTGCAATTCTCTGCACTCTTTGCTCCGTATCTCCGTAACGGCTGGACCTGCCTTTGTCAAACACTAATCAGCATATCTCCCTATCAATGCGAATCGAATAATTTTTGAACCATTCAAATACGTTGATCCGTGCGCCCAAAAGCGTGAACGAAAAAATGCGGATATACAAACACACACACACATTCATTTTTTTCTGAGATTTGCCAAAATGTTCAGAAATTTTCAAAACGTAAAGATATGTAACGATTTTCATTTTCGATTTTTGGCCCATTACTATAACTACCCTACGGGAAGTTAAAAATTGATTAAAGTTGAAAATTGTATACTGAGCCACTTGTTTAAACTAATATGTCAAGTTTTCTGGTTACATTTTTTATATTTGGATCAACTTTTTAAGAAATTTATTCAAACATGTATATGAAGTGGTTGTCGAATAACAAGAGTTTTGATTCTATTCACTTCTATTTATTATTGTTGAATATTAATACAATTTATTTATTGGTCTGTCCTTGTTGGCGGTTGACGGTGGAAGAGACGTTTGCCTATGATCCTTCCTCTTTTATTCGGCCGTCTTGATGCGTGCGCATCATGCAGGACAATCACGTGGTACGGCAGGATCGTACTAATTGCAGGGCTGCACTTGGGTGCCGCCGCACAGCCCCCCCTATGGAGAAAGAAAAAAAAATGGTTGTGTTCTGTAAATTAATATTATGTTTATTCAAGCTTTGTATGAGCTGGCTTGATTTTGTCCACTTATTTCTTTGGAGAAAGATTTAGGCTGGGTATACATATCCAACTTATAAGTCTCTCAGATGTTCTAAGGCTCAACAATAACTACGAAAAAGCGTCTATCCATGAATGTTTCTCATGGCACAATAGAGTTGCTTTTAGTGCATTCTGCATTGGTTAGTTGCTGCGTTGCCTGTCGATTGATGTTCCGATGTTGCTGATGAGCTAGAGGTTTTGTGGGCCTTCGCTGGTGAGTTTGCGGTCGAGTAGATGTGGCCCTTCGCTGGTGAGTTAGCGGTTGAGTATATGTGGCCCTTCGCTGGTGAGTTAGCGGTTGAGTAGATGTGGCCCTTCGCTGGTGAGTTAGCGGTTGAGTAGATGCGGCCCTTCACCGGTGAGTTAGCGGTTGAGTAGATGTGGCCCTTCGCTGGTGAGTTAGCGGCTGAGTGTATGTGGCCCTTCGCTGGTGAGTTAGCGGTTGAGTGTATGTGGCCCTTCGCTGGTGTGTTAGCGGTTGAGTGTATGTGGCCCTTCGCTGGTGAGTTAGCGGTTGAGTGTATGTGGCCCTTCGCTGGTGAGTTAGCGGCTGAATGTATGTGGTCCTTCGCTGTTGAGTTGCTTGTTCTTTGTGGACAGATTGGTGAATAAACTATGTAATATTAATAAAATATGCGGCAATTGTTGTCGATTAAATGCTCTTCCACTTTGTTCGAGAACTATTGATATGAATAAAAAATCAATAGCCATAGATTGTATGCACTTATGTATGTTCTTGAATGTTTTGTTTACTCACGCCAGGTAGATACTTGTTTTGCTTCAGCTGACTTTGTCACGTCGGGGTCACCATTGAAGTGGTTGTTGAATAACAAGAGTTTTGATTCTATTCACTTCTATTTATTATTGTTGAATATTAATACAATTTATTTATTGGTCTGTCCTTGTTGGCGGTTGACGGTGGAAGAGACGTTTGCCTATGATCCTTCCTCTTTTATTCGGCCGTCTTGATGCGTGCGCATCATGCAGGACAATCACGTGGTACGGCAGGATCGTACTAATTGCAGGGCTGCACTTGGGTGCCGCCGCATATATATTATTATACACTATTTGTATTATAATTTTACCAAACATGCATATGTTGGTATATAATTCAATTCGTTGTCGTAAAAATAATAATTACATATGTGATGATGTTATTTAGAAATTGCCTTCTACTTGTAACTTTTTGACTTATTTGCACAATATAATACCGGTACTTATGTATGCATACAAAACTTATGGCAATGACAAATTTGAATTACGTGGCTATAAAATCTTATTTAATGCATACAAATCAATAAATTTTTACAGAAATATATTAAACAGATGTTTCTGCAGAATTCCATGTTTTAGCGGTTGACCTGTCGCTCCACCACTCTTTGGAAACCTGAAAATAATTGATATAAGTTAAATCTTTTTTAAATTATTTTGTGTCAACCGCTGTATATAATTTATTGCAAGCTTATAGCGATTATGTTCAAACTTGAATTGAAGCAAAAACGTTGAAACTAAGTATAATAGGCATGTTTTCATTAACCGAATTATTGAAAATTATTTCTAGAAAAAAATAAATCAAAGAAAAAAATAATTTATCAGTTTTAATTATTACAAATTATTGTATAAGTCAGCAATTCCATTTCTAAATGCATATAATAAGCCATATTTTCAACATAATATATTTAAACAGTTGCAAAACTGTTGATAAACCAATAAATAAAATGTTTTGTTTCGTTTTGCCTGAAATACTAATAAAAAACTATTCCAAAGTAATATTCGATAAATTAATACTTAATAACATTGCCTAAAACTGCATTAAAGCAGAACTTAACCTAAAAGCCTCTTCAATTCTACAATTCTAAGTTAATTTTGAACATGCGTGCGCTACTTACAAATAATATTTTTGTTCAACTTTTTGCCTAAAAGAATATTTTCTTAAAACGTTTGATTGATTATACGATGTCATTGCTATTAGAAGAAGAAAGATGTGCTTTATATTATTGCTGAATCTTCTCAACTGAGGCATCGCCCACCTTCATTGTATCACATTTTTTAGGTCCACCAACTTCTGGTATTTTCTCGTCGTTCTTGATTTGGCCATGATTTTCTTGAACTATGTTGATTTCAGGTGGCGGACCCGGCTTTAACAACCCTGCTGATTTAATTTGTGCAGCTGTTGATCTGAAAAACATATGTGCAGCTGTTGGAAATGTTTTTGTAGAATTGGTACATCGCGTGTACTTATATTACTTAGGTAGAGAAAAAAGAAATCTATTATTGTTGCAATAGTTGTCTTTAATTATGCGTATCTCGCGTTGTATAAGTCCGAATGAGTTCTTCTAGGCGGCGTTAAAATGAGGTTTGGTTCTAAATAAACGTCTTTGACAGTTTTGTTTGAGCGTCAAAAATGAGCACTAGCACAGAGAAAATACACTATATTTTACAGTTTTTGTTCGATTAAGGCGAAAACGCAAGCCAGGCGGCTAAAGGTTTGAATAGTGTTTGCGGTCCTGATTTAGTAACAGCCAATCTCACTCAATTTTGGTTTCGTCAATCCATTTGAGTAATTTTGGTGTCAAAGACGCAAGCGCACCAGAGGGCCAATTGACGAAAATATCAACAAAATGTCGATGTCGATAAGACCGTCATGTTCTTCGACTTTGATTCCGTGAAAACTGTAAAAAAACATTTTGGCAGCATTTGAATAAGGCTCCATGTATGGGTGCCACAGGAAAACCAACAGAATCTAATTTTCAGAAGAAAATAGTTTTTCTTTTCATTTTTGAAGCGATTGGTGAAAAAAAAAAGGATCTCTTGTGACAACGCAAAGGAAAAACTGTAGCAATTGAATTGCGATGAATGAGCAAAAATAGGACTGGGACTTAATGGATTTAGCAAGGAATTATATATCATGAGCTGATTTATACAAAAATAATGGATTTCTTTTATCTCTATCTAATATATATATATATATATATATATATATATATTTATATGGAAAAAGTAACTTACGATCTTCTTTTGTGTTCATGTCGATCGATGTCTTTCCAAACAGCAGTGCTATTTACTTCTTCACTTATGTTGATGGCAGCCAGTGGTACCTGTATCATTTTACCGTTGGGTAAGGCGATGTCAATGCTGTGGTGTCTATCCAGCAAAGAACGCTTCACACTTTCAGAACCCTGCTGAAAGTATTTCTCATCATAGCCACTTTATAGTGAAAATTGTTGAAGAAGTATTTATAAAACAGCTAATATGTAAAATAATCTTTCTGTACCACTTAAAATGAATGTTTTTTTTCTGACTTGATTGAACTTGATTGCGCTTGTAATCTTAGACAGTTTGTCAATTATAATTTTACCAGAAACTATTTTAATTAAAAAAAAAATAGGAAAGCAAAAACATGTGTGCGGTTACTACTGTGCTGGCTAAAAACATATATGCAAAATTTAAGCATGTTTTGATTGCTAAAGTAAACTAATTTGTTGCGGGTTTAATAAAAAATATTATTTTATTTAACAATTTATTGAATAATAATAAAACATGCTACACATACACATCACTGAATATATAATAATAAATAAAATAGTAAGACTATATCTAAATAAATCAGGTTTGAATTGACAATTTTCATAATTTATGTTCAAAATATATTCGGAAATATCGAGGCCGCTTTTTATCAAACACACATATATATATATATATATATATATATATATATATATATTTATATATAACTATATAATTAGTGCTAATTATAAACCCTGAGCTGTAACCTAATAATATTTGTTGTAATTTTGTATTTTGTTGTCTGCTTCAAACAACATGTAGAATTGCAACATGCGTACAATACGTTGAAAAAATGCACTGCCATTTGTTGAAAATTATTTTCGTACTAAACAAAAAGCATGCTTTTTAAAGAATTTATAAAATCAATGATAACAGCAATGTTTGGCACTCTAATGGCATGAAATGTATACTAATTACAAATACAACTAATTATGACAATTATCATATAATATTCTACATAAAACTTTTTCAAAATTTAATAAAATTTATACGTCATTCATAAATAATATCATATTCATTCAAATGCATTACACAAAGTGATTGACAATGAATTATGAATGACTTGCATATAAAAAATTTATTTATGGCAATGGTTTTCTAATAAAATCTACATAATTAAAATGAAAACATCGAGTATGAGAACATTACCACCTTATCTCTATCATACTAAAATCAATATTCAATTAACATTATAATGACTTGGAATAATTATTAATAAAATAAATTATAGTAATATTTATGATATATAACTTCGAAGTATTCTAATCCAATCAAAAAATAAATAATACAATTATTATTGAATATAATAAAATATTTTTTTTATACATTTTTATTCATATTTTTGATAATACTAATAGCATTCAAACCTTAAACGAAACTTACCTAAGAACAACATCGAATTTAACGGCATTAAAATTATCATATTCAGGAAGTAACAATTTCCTTCTCAAACATTGTACAAGTATTCCATACTTTTTAATTGACTAAAATATTTCAGTATGTGATCATAAAATAAAATAATACGTAAGGCTGATTTGCGTTCTGTCGTGAATTTCCGTTAGGCACTCTAATCTCTCCACATTTCATATTAAATTGTAGCAATATTGTTTGAAAAACTTGATTATATCACATGGCATTTAATTAGATCTAATTTTTAGTGTAAAATGTTTATGGAATGTACAAACTCGTATTATATCAAAGCACACAATGTTAAGTAATCTCCGTCGTATATAATTTCAAATAGACCCTATTTTACATCTTTTCATAATAGTACCGTAACATTATTTTAGTTAAATCATAAAATAAATTTGAATAGCGAATATTTGAATAGAGTGAATACATATTTCGTTCACATATATGATCTTTCTTGTATAAAAACAATCGTACAGAAAGAATTCCCAACCAATTATGATAGACAAGGCCAAATTCAAAATGATGAGTTTAACCTAAACATGACACCAATCCTCATGTCACTTTGTGGTTGACGAAGGCGAACTAAAGCCGCTATTGCCGCCGAGACAACAATTTGCGAAACGTTTGAACATGCCCACCTCTGCTAGTTCCAAATGGCGCAGATCTTCCGCTTTCCTTCGGGTTATTTCCGGCATCACGTCATCTAATATCTTTAACTCGCGTCGGGTAAAAACCAAATCTAAAGATTTGCGTATTCCAATCATAACCACCAACATGAGTGGAAACAGTATCGAGGTCGCTGAGAAGGACTTTATTACCCAGAGACAGATCAGGCATGTTAACTGAATTACGGTAAACAGGTGAACACGTTTTAATGGCACCTGAAATATTTGGGAACGTAAGGAAATATAATATTTATCATGTATCATGTACATATTATCACTAGGTTTACGAATATTTCGTATATTTCTCCCTTCTCTACGGAGACCCTTCAAATAGACGTAATGCGCAATTTCTTTAAAAAAATATATTAATTTTTACTCAGGTTCGATTGAACAATATAATTTAAGGCTTGGCATAAAAATAAATTGTAAAAATTATTAACAAATCTTGAAAAAATTAACATAAGACATCTACATAGTAACCATATTTTTCCAATATATTTTTAATTTTTCGTTGGGTAAGTTATAGTAATCGCAAAAAAATCAAAAATATTTTTTTTTATTTATCTCTACGTTTCAGATGTTTCTGAACATTTTGGAATACTTTAGGATAAATGGATGTGTGTGTGTGTTCAGATACTAATTTTTGTCGGCGATTTCGGGCACCGTCCAACCGATTTGAATGATTCAAATTCAACGAATCCTATTGATAAGGAGACGTGCTCAGTTTTTGGACAAGGCAGGTCTAGCCGTTTCAAAGATATAAGGTAAAAAGTGTCAAAAACGGTAACTTGATTTTTAGAAGAACGGAGCGTTTGATATCAATGAATTCAAAATTGAATTCATTGAATTATTGATATCAAAATTGAAAAAATGAAAATATGATTTTGGCGTAGTGGTTTCGGAGATAAAAAAATGCCATTTGACGATCAAAAGTGCTCATTACACATCTGCACATCAAATTACCAGATATTTTATAGAGACTTTATTAATGAGCATAAATTTGGTTTACATCACTATGAATTACGTAACATTGTTCGTCCGTTAGACTATAACGCTGCGCCTACGCGCTTTGATATTTTTTCTTTGTGCAGCTTAAGCAGCTTTAAAAAAAGTTCAAAATTTCCAAAATATTTCAAATATAAAAATTAATTTTTTTAAAGTCATTTTTTCAAAAATTCTCTAAGATCAAATTTTTTCAAAGTTTTAAATAAATTAATCATCACGGGAAGTTCCAGCAAATTGCCTTAAGGCACGATGCCATACACTACTAGTTATACATATTATTTGAATTTCTCTTATTCCTCCTCATGTGATTTTATAGTATGATACATATAATTGCAGCTTCTATTTTTATTACACTTCTTAAAACTTTTTCGAAATCCTGATGTTGACGTTTACTGAACTTTGCTGAAACATCGTGGTTCGACTGACGCGATGATCTTTTTTGTTAGCGATTTGATTGTATAAATAACACTTAATAGTAAAGTTTAGTGCTACTATTTGTAGAAATAATATTACAAATGAAGCAAATATGTAAACATTTTTTGAGTGATTGGCGTAAATTTAACGAATTTCCAAAGAGATAGGTATACCACATACGAATTTAAAATTTAAAAAATTGTATACATTATATCTATTAATAAACTATGAATTGACGTCACTAAATATTTAAGATTAATGCTATGGTTTTTAGGGCATTTTATTTCAAATTTCGAATGCCGTCCAATTAGTAAACCTAGTGTTGAAGAAATTACAATTACATTACCTGTCTCAAGAACATGTAATCTGGCTGATATTTAACCGGCATTAGCATAATCAGGAGTCTGTCAAAGAATTGCAGTCCTTTTAATGATGCTACACCCATGTACAAGAAAACACCAAATAAAACCGGCATCGGAATGTGCCTCAGCATTGGAGTAAAAAGCACCGATAATCCAATCATGACAAAAATCATAATATGTGTTACACGCTGTTCTCTTACACCTAGAAATTGAGGTTTTTCTCCAGGTGCTGCGCATTCTGATTCTAATTTTAGTGAATTGACATGATTTATCGACAGAACAGTGGCAGCCACAAACCACGGAAGCCCCATTATTGAGCAAATTTGAATCAATATGGCTAAAATAAACAGATCCAAGTGATAACCACATCCTTTTTTCAACTTGTTTTCTTTGCGATTAACAATAACCGCTGTAATTTGCTGATCCATGAATATCAATATGGTTCCTAAAAGAGCTGGTAAAACAGCAACTATTGCTGACCAGAAAGGATTACGGCCGAATGGCATTATTATCCATCCCCTTTCATCTAGTGTTGGTTTGAACTCAGATGGTACTTCTAATTTTGGCGTTGGAACATTTGATAAATAATCTACTAATGTCATTGAAAAAATGGCAATTATTACAGAAAAATCTGATACAATTTGACGCACCTAAAAAAAATGCATGTTTATATTATATATGAACGTTTGCCATATGCCATACATACAAGTGTTGGCTTCAACAAGAAGAAATCAAATCACTTACATTGGATGGAAAGAATAATGCGTTTTTAAAATCCTTGAGAATTACAGAAAGTAAAAATGTTCCAATGAATAAAATCACAGACATCAAGAAAACATTTGGTACAGTGTTTCTTGGTAAACAACCGGGCCCTCCGATTGTACCATTCATTGCCTATAACAAACAAATGTTCAAACATTTTATCAAATTATCAAATAATTTAAATAACCAAATAGATTTTAGAAATATTTATATATAGTTTACCATGCATGTATAAGGATCTACTGAACTCCAATTGACTGAATCTGCATAGCTCATATTCGTGAAGGCAGTTGGTGTGCAAATGCAGTTTCCAAATAACGGATCAAGTCCATCTGTGCTCATAGGATTGTTTTCGCCTATATGGATAACATTTTCAACAGCCTGTTTTAAAAAATTCATATAAAAGATGTTAATAAAATATGCAGCAAATTGAAAATAAATTTTCAAAATACCTTATAAATAAATATAAATGCTATTAAAGTTGCAAAATTTTCTTCTGTAAATCTGGTAATGTAACAAACTAATGCGCTAGCGTCAACTGCTACGAGTATTATTAATATGATTGTGATCCAACTACCAATACATAGTCTGAACGACATGTAGTCCCAATCTGCGGTCTTACAAAATTCGTAAACTATGGTTTCAAAAACAAGTACAGGACCTGTGGAACCTAGAACGGTCAATGGCTGTCCAGAAAAAAGGCCATAACCAATTCCACAAACAAACCCGCTCACTAAGCTTTCCATTGCTGCCATATTTCGCCCGGTCGCTTGACCTGACATAAAAAATATCACAGTAATAATTATATTGATTTTAATGTTTGTAGCTATAACAGATTACTCGAAAATCAAAGCAATCGACAACATTATTATAATATAATTGTACAATAAACATAATGAGAATTTTCGTAATGAAAATTATAAAATGTTGGAATTATCTAATGTAATAGTATGTATCATCTTACCCAAAAGACCGCCAAATGTGATAATAGGTGAAAGACAAGCAAAGTATAAAAATATCCATGAAGCTATACATTGCAGCGACAAAGCATCTTTAAAGTCTGAGAAGTACCATGGAGCTTTACGTTTCAGATCGTTCACAAGACCTCCAAAAAGTTTACCACTTCTTGACAATCCACTTTCTTCTCTCAATTTCTGCTCATCTTCGAGTTCGTCTTCTATTTCATCACGTTTGACTTTTTCGGGCGGCCTTTTGCGAACCTCTTGACTTGGTATTGCTGCTGGTGGTTCAATACGTATAGTAGGATCCCATTCACCGGGAGGTAATACAGTGACTGCATCTAAAAACTCATCGACACCCGCTAGTAAATGATCTCTTTTCTTTGCTCTGAAATAAAAATAGATAATTAGATTTTTCAGACCGATACCATAAAAAGCATTTACTCTCAACTATTAATTTATCATTCGAGAAATTAATTAACTATTATTCGTACCTATAAGCGACTTCATGAAAAATTTCGTCCGACATTAGAGTAGCCATTGCTCTTCCAATTTCATGAAAACTATCACGATTGCCTCTGGGCCCCAATAAGATAAAAATGAATCTTGTCGGAACTGGAACTTCAGTCAGATCGCCCATGAGAGCGGCTTGACTTAGTCTTATAAATGCGGAAATTCGTTTATCCAAAAAGTCGACTTCACCAACAAGGATATTGCTAGCTTCAGCCCCATGTGGAATTTTTCGCATAAAATGGGTATTGGTTTTGTGATTATTGGAATGGTCACTCGCTCCGCTACCTCCACCATTCGTGAACTCACCAGCACTTGAATTAGGATTAATCGAATGTCCGCTGGGAGATTTAACCATTTGATCATCTCCTAAATCCACAAAATACTTTTATAAGTGTTAGGTTAATTGCATTCATATAAAATATAACGCAAAATATTTTTTAATTTTTTTAAATGTTTGGTTTTAAAACATGCAAATTTTTTTTGATCAGTCAGAAGCAGATATTTAATTCAATTTGATCTAAACAGTGAACAAAATTTTCATTTGAATAGATCAAAATTTAGAATTGGTGCAATTGTACACAACATTTGCCATATATGTATATATGGCTTATTTATACATATACATATATCATTACATTTGCCACACAAACATACTTTAATTCATGCATAGACAGTCAATCCTTCCTTAGTGGCGGGTGCCTACCGTGTAGTAAAAAACTTGGATTTAACACACAATCCAGTTTATTTCGTAGTTTAGGTTTGTAAAAAAAAATAGGTTTTTTTTGGTTAAATTTTAGTTTTAGAAAATCAAACGGCACACACCGCTATTATATAAAGTGGCTTGTATGTGTAAATAAATTGTGGAAGATGATATAGTCGATAATAGATATATATATATATATATATATATATATATATATATATTTTCACAAACACGGCTGAGGCACGTATCGGAGGGATTTCGGATTTTCGGCTCGCGTAGTATGAGACCATCTTCCCAGAGTTCCGTGTTAACGAAGGATTGACTGTATAATATATATATATATATATATATATATATATATATATATATGTAATATTAATTTTGTTAAATATATAATCCAAAATAAGAAAGAAGTTTAAAACACATGAACTAATTATAAGCAAAAGGTCAAACTGCAATACCGTTATACATTGAAACACAGAGAAAAAACATAAAAATGAATGATGCAGCAACTTTAAAGATTTCACAGTAAAATCACAGTAGCAATATTTAGACTTAGTTATCGCTACCGCTATATGGTACTATATAAATATAGTAATATAGTTTATCAAAATTAATAATGGTAGAATTCGATAACTAGGGCTAAAAACGTCTATATCAAGCAACGAAACATTTGCAGATTATGTCAGAAAATAGTTGTGCGATTTACCCGGCGTAGAACCGGGTACAGAAAGAAATCGACCAGCAGATCCGATATTCGGCAAGGAAGGAGTGTTATGTTCATCCACTGAAAATAGAAACAATAAGGAGCTACAAAAAAGAATAAACACATTTTTAATGCTCCACAAAAATATAGAAAAAATCCAGAAAAAGAAATTAATTTAATAAGAGAAAAAAACATCTTAATTTGGAAAATCTTCGATTTTTTATAAATACGATAAAGAACATTTGCTATAATAATTATATAAATAAAAAAAACTGATACATTCAAATACCGATCAAAGAGCTAAAAATCGATTTAAACAATAATAGTAAACGTAATTTCAAAAAATACTTCAAAAGATCTTTAATTCTTCACAGAATTTATTCATTGGAGCTAATTATGAAAAGCCGCATGCAAATTTAAATTGTATTTGAACACCAAATAGTATTTATATAAAAAAAACATGGAATAATATTTATTGTAACACGATATGTTAAAGAAAGGTGTGATATCTTAAAACAACACACTAATCATACGCCACAAATAGTTTTTTGAAAAAATTACTAATGATTAGGAAGTAAGAATTATTGGTAGCAACGTGAATTAATCGACCTTTCTGAGGATGGATACCGGTGATCGCCCAAGTGGTACATCCAGATTCTGTAGTTAAGTCATCTGCATAATTGATTAAATAAAAACATTTAAATAATATTCAGATTTTAATTATACTAGTGAATATTATACTCGCGAATTTGAGGATTGTTATCAATAGTGATTTCAATATATATATATATATATATATATATATATATATATGTGTGTGTGTGTGTGCGTGTGTGTATGTGTGTCTGTGTGTAGTTTATAGAGGCTTCTATGAATATATAAGCACATAGTTACCAATAACAACATACACGTATATACAATAAACTATTAGTAAAAGCAGTGATGGCAAAGATATTCCTCCACCTTGTGTGAAATGGCGTGTTAGTAATCTACTGAAAGATAATATATACACCATCAGTGAAATTGTTCGTAGATTGGCATCTCGGTACCTGGAAGAGATAAATATCGTCCCCGATCATCATTTGCATCTTTCTGCCTAGGAAGTTCTGAAGATTCTGGTTCATCCCTTTTTGTTTCAATTTGGCAGTGCCTCGTCGTTGGCAGAAGTTCGACGGACATTGTGTTACCGTTGCAACACTGGGGCGCTGATTTACATATCAAGTTCAATTTATGCAGTTTTACTGTTATTGATGTCTTCAAAACATTCGCCAGTTGGCAAATATTATAAAGAAATTATCAGATTTTAAAATAAGACAGAATTATATCGTAATAGTACAAGTTTTTATTACATAAAATTGTTCCGCATAAGGTTTCATTGTGAGTAACTTAGTAACCTATATATTTTCATTATCTGCGTGGTAGGTAATGCAAATTATAAAATATAAATTATCGTTATTAGATTGATTACGTATAAATATTTGATATTGATATTTTGTCAATAGTTCATATTTTTTACGATTAAATAAATTGTAAGAGGTTCACATACATTAACACTATATATTATATTGCTATATATTATTAACACAATATATACAATTTTGATGTAATATTTTGTTACGAATACTGATAATCATATAATAGTGTTTATATTCATTATATGCAATTGATAAAGATCGTAGTGAAAACATATACTTTATTTATAAAATGTTTGGTTATTTATTTTGTATTTATTTATTTGATTAAATTTTGTTGTTGAAGTAGGTAGACTAAATTCATTAAAATATTTTAAAAACGATTAATCATTTATATATTATAATAAATCAATATGTTCCAACATATATTGAATGTATTATTTCATTTGTGAAATAGATCAATATAGAGTTACGTACATTAACGTCCTATTTTGAATATGAAATATTATTCGACTATTTATTTATTAAAATTGGCTTTTAATTACCTTGCAAAAAATTATTACGTAATTTATTACTGCAAATTTTCATTTAATATTTAAAAAAAAAAACTATTTTAATTTGTAAGAGATATTTGAATTTAACACAGTATATCAAATTGATTAATTTGAGACTAATTAATAATTATAAATTAATTATTATTTATAAGAGATGAGATAAACAAAAAAATATTATAAACTTATAATAAAAAATATAGTTAATATATATAAATATTTAAATAATACCAAAACCCTAAATTTAAATATACAAAATAAATATTAAAAATAACTATATTATGTTTTTCAATGGTTGAGTTAGTGGTATATTCTTCTATTAAAAAAATCAAAAATAATCTACATGCAAAAAATACTATTAAACCCAGCATTAATATTATATCATCATAATTTGATATATACAGGAGATTAGTAAATAAAAATATATTTTATACTATACAACGATTAATTCGATTTCTAACCTTATAAAAACATCATCGAAAAACTTCATTAAATATGTGCACAACTCATGAAAGTATCTTATACTCACTTTTCGACGTTGATAGATTTTTTCCAATATCCGCCAGAGACCTAATTATTGGCAGTCGAATATTGTCCTTTCTTTTTCCTTCGTGCTGATGTCGATGTCTCCTCAGCAAAGCTTCTTTAACCTACCAAAAAAATGTTAAACTTATAAAATAATAATAGTTTTGTTGCTAACTTTGATTACTCATTTGATAGATCAATCTTTAATATAAGACGGAAATAGTAATTTTCGAACAAAAAGCCAAGCAAGATATTGATTTACATACAAAATATCGAATACGTACTATATTCATTTAGACCGTAAAGACCTATTCTGCTTTGTATACACACTTCATTAAATAATGTGACAAGATTACCTTTATAGAAAATTTACGAGTTTCTACCACATTAATCAGAAGACCGAAGGGCAATACCTACATACTTGAGTTACTTGTACTAATTGAATTAACCAATAAATTTCATTCAGAAGTTTATTTTAAATGCATGTTTGCTTATATTGGTATAATAAATATTGAACAAATTTACTAATTTTCTATATTATTGCCGAAATTTATAAAGAATCTCCATTTATTTAAATTTAATTTACATAATCTCTTAAAAAAAGTATATAATTTAATTGTAGTTAATCAATAAAAATTGGCATTTCAATTTAGAATTTCAAAATAGTGACGATAACATTTTGTAACTTGGAAAATCTGTAACTAATATATAAATAACTGTATACGAATACAGAATACACTTAATGTAAATTTTAATGAATTTTTAATAATAAATCACTTTTTGTATGCGCATAATAATTTAAGTTTTAAATTACCTTTTAATTTCTGCAAAAGTAAAAAGAAATTCAAAGCTCACAAAAAGTTATGCGCTTTATATAGTGATGAAGCCTTAATAAATGGTACTGTCAAAATTGGCCTTAATTGGTCCGTTGTAAAAAAAATTGGTTTGGCAAATTACGTTGTGGTGATTTTTAACTCAAAGATGAAAAACACTCAGCTCGTACAGTTGATGATAATTACACAGGAATTATCGGATTGTCAATCAAATCATCAATACTTATGTCTACATTGAGGAATTTATGAAATTAAATATTTCACTTAAAAAAAGCGGCCTGAAATGACGAATCGAAACTTATTCTATTATCGACATCACACATCTTTGGCCATTCGGGACAAATTCTTGTTTAGTTTAAAATTATAGTTTAAGTCAAAATGGGTTAACTAACCTTTTCCCTAGTGTCAGAGTTCAGCTGACCAGCAGTTTGGAGATTTTCGCAGGCCAGATCTGTGACTTCTTCCAGGGAACTCGCCTGCATATCGAGTAACACGGAACCATGTCGCAGCAGAGAGCGAAGTTCGAATAGAGCATGCAGGGACAATGTTGCCACATGAGGTTTGGACCATCGATCACCACCTGTAATAAATAAAAAAAAGGTTTTGGTGATATAATTAAATAATTGTAACAATAATAATAATAATTAAATAGGTCAAATAATAATATATGAGAATCGGTAGAACTCATATCCAACGACATGAAACAATCGATACAAATAAAAATTTGTTTTGATAGCATATTGAAAATGTAAATTTGAACAGGTTTTTAAACTTTTAAAATTCTTATTTTGCACTCTGTGTAATATTTTCTGATTTTTTTTAAATATAACAATTTTTAAATATAACTAGTATATTCGTCAGTCGGAGTTAACTTGTTAAATCGAATTATGTTAAATCATGTTTAAAATAATTCAACTAGCAACACCAAAGCAATATGGAAGCAACTGCAGTCTGTAATATACATATGTGGCTCTACAAACCAAATACCACCGAATTCCGCAAAATTAATTTACCTTATTGATATTCTAAGAAATCTCACAATCTAGTATTTGTAAGTATAATCAATAAAGGGATTTTAATCAACAATAATTTGCTTCGCAAACGTTTCATTCTAGGTGAAGAGAAGATCTGATTATGGTATAAAACGTACCCATTTCGACGTCCTCCTCGAATTTAATCCATCTCGCTGTCTCTTTCCATTCGATCTCGCCATCTTCTTCTGCCACCAGCTCCTCCATTTCGGAGAACAAGGGATGAGATTCAAGACCTCCTTCCTCGACATCTTCTCCAAGAATGAACTGGACTCTTTTTGCAGGAGGTGTCACTGAAAGATAGAAAGTAAATAAGAAAACAATTTAAAAAATTATAGTGAAATAGCTGGATGCAAAGTTCAATCGAAAATGACACAAGTTGATTTTAGTATTTGCTCGTTTTTGCCTTAATATTGAATGTGTAATTTCATAAAATTAATTATGAATATATTATCATAAAAATCCAATTGTGGTCACCATAAGATAAAGTATGATAATTACTCTAAAGTTTTTTTTTTCAAAATAATTATACTAATTCTTGCTGTTTAGTGCATAACATTGCATACTATAGTAAGTGAAACAAACATGCTTTTGTTAGAGCTAATAAATTTAAATCATTGAATATTAAGAATCATATATTTGACAAGACAATAATTATTGTTTAATTTATGTTTTACACAATTAACTTGTAACTTGAAAAATATTAATCATGCCCTAAACAATTTCAATACATTAAGAGCTCTTTAACAATACTTTATTACTACTACTACTATTCCATTTTCGAGGCGATATAAGTATATATATATATATATATATATATATATATATATACATTATTACACAGTAAACTATTTTAAGACTATTCTGCTTAATACTATCTCAAGCATTATACGTCACTTCACGTCGGTCGCTCCTATCCCGCATAATACGCTTTCTATCATAACGAGCGTTATTGGTTCGGTCCCAGTAATAGTCTGGACGGAGTTTTATTGATATACATATTACACTTAAAATATAAATGCGTAGCTATGAAAATTTTATGTTTATTACGCAAAGTTTACAAAAAGTCATTTCTGTAATATAAAAATATTTCAGAGAAGAAATATTATTCTAACATATATTTTAACTTAGATTATCATAAAAATTCTGTCTATTAGTTTGCAAATTATCAAGCGAGGAAAATGTTCAACGCATGGGAAATTACATGCTCGCACGCAAATGCCAAAGTATGAGCCAACCTAATTGTAAGAGTCGAACACTCAACGCAAATTTAAAGTTCACTAATTATTTTTGAATAATTTTTTGTGGCGAAAAACTAAGTTGGGTTAAGTAAGGATGTGTTATGTTCGGAAAATTAAGTAGAGCAGCTAGAGCTTTATATATACATATCTAAATAAAAATCTGGGTTTTATTTTATTTCGCACTTTATTAGAGGACCTAAACATACTTTTTTATTATATACTAAACTCAAATTTGATTTGTTTAATTATCCATTTAAAACAATAAATGAATTAGAAAATCCTTAAAAAATCTGACCATATATTTACAATATGTAGAAGGCAAGAATTTCTAATATCTACATAATGAAACTACTGTTTTAAATACTAGTTTTATCATGCAAATCTAATCATTCGTGTATGAAGAACTTATATGCGAACATTATTTTGTTAATTCAAACATTCCAGTACAAAATAATTCTAATAAATCATATGCAATAAGTATTATAATTAATATTCAATCACGTAACTAATAAATACGTAAATAACAATTCGTGTTTTATTCGATCATTAGGTATATATATATATATACCTATATATATATATATATATATATATATATATATATATATATATATATTGTAGAGTTTCGAACAAGAATCCAAAAATAATACAAAATAAAAAAACAAGAAAAGTTTTTAATAAACAATTTCTTTATTTAATTATTTGTTTACTGTCAACGTTTCGGAACTAGGTACGTTCCATCTTCAGGACATCTGTCAAGAAACATGATCTTGATAAGATTTAAGCAAACAATATGTTTAAGAATAGAAAATAGATTTTTCTTAAATAATAAATTAATTGTAACAAATAATAATGTACAGAAATATGATAATATGATCAAAATGAAAATGATAAAAATAAATGAGTGGATTATCAGAACAGGATATTAAAAATGATAGAATTTTTTTTGAAAGTTATGGAAAAATTTTTTAAGAAAGGATTAATGATAAAATTGAATTAATTACCTGTATGTTTGAATATACGTTAGCACTTTTTCACTAAACAAGAATTTTTGACAAAAAATGAATTTGTGAGTTATTTTTCCGCCGAATAGTTAACTTTTGTAAATCAAAATTACTAAAAGTGTTGTCTTTTTTTTAAATTATTATTTGAAAACAAATAATATTGTATTCGAAGTTATACTATTGGCTTTTGGAAGTGAACTAAACTGTAATTGCTGGATTCATATGTAACACGTGTAAACACTTGAAACGAGAACTGTGAGATTGTATGTTTGTGTTTTTTTCATGTTAGGGTGTAAATACTTAAATTATTGAACTTAAAATGAAGTCGATATTAATTGTTTGTCAAAAAGTGTAAAAAATTTAAATATGAGTCATGTAATAGGTTGTGATCTGATCTAATGTTGACACTGTTAGACACATTCATGAGAATGAGACAACTCTCCGCGAATAATCTCCTAAAGATGCAACTTTCATGATTAATATTCTTGGATTCTTGTTCGAAACTCTACAAAATATACACAAATCCAAGACTCTACCATGTGTGTGTGTGTGTGTATTTGATCAATATAAAAAATCTTATTTCTAGACGAATTTGATCGCAGGAAATCCCCTTCGTATTTATGTTATTTTTCTACGCAAGCAAAAAGCCTCTAACAAACAAACTAACAAACGTTCATTAAGATTCCAGAAGGTTTTGCTTACTAAATCCATCAGGATCGCAAATGCTTAATCGCCCGCGCCTAGGCACAATTATTGGCTCTTGTTCTGAAAGTAATATTCCAGATCTTGCTGTTATTAAAGTAATATAAACGATAAATGGATTTTTATCATAAAAGTATTTTGTTTATTATTTAAGTCTTTTTAAATTATAATTATTTTGGTTACCATATTAATAATTGAAAAGTATTTTTTATGATACAAATATTTAGTTTAAAAAATTGTAAATTATTTTAAAACATAAGTATTTAGTTTGACAAATATATAAGCATTTGATATAAAGATAACTTGCTGTTAGATGACACATCGATTAGTTAGAATCCGTCACACTTATAAGTAATATAGGTAACTTATAATAAATAATATAGGTACAAGATTTTCTGATCTCAGGTTTGCTATGCCTGTACATATTGTGACTGAATAATTTCCCAAAAACGTTTCTCCCTTGATTCCTTTACATAAAAATCATTCTCTAATTATATTTACACAGAATACGACAAGCTGTTTGTAGGTGCAAACAATTCCAAGAAAGCGCGGCCATGCCCTAAACATTGTTATTAATAACGTTCTTACGTTAATTCGATAGAGCAATAAAATTAACCATCGATCGAATACAAACATCGAATATAAATTAATGTCTTTATATACTTAGGAAATGTATTATCTTTTTGACAATTTACGGAGCGTATCAATTTTTCATCGAAATTATCAAGAAAACAAATCAATCATTATTACACGTCAACATGAGAAAATTAGTGGATTTTGCAATACATTATGTGAAAGCTAATAATTTATTTAAATGCAACGTGGAAAATAGATGTATCAAGGAAACCTTCACATTAATATTTAGTAATACAAAAAAAAATATAATAAAGTAAACCAACCAACATGGTTTTAACTAGATATTTTCGAATTGAGTAAAACGTTTTTGATAAAAATAATCAATGGTCTTACCTTGATATTATTTTCAAATTGAGTAAAACTTCTGAAAAAAAGCTTGAATAGTAAGCCATGGTTTTAACTTGATATTTTCAAACAAATTTCAAGTAAAAATCATGTGATATTAAGAGTTTCATTTAACAAAATCAAACACAGATCCTAAAAATAACATCAACCCATGTTCATGTAATTAATTATCTGCTTTTAATTTTCACTATTATAAACTGGTACTTATAACGCAATATATTTTCAACTAATTAACTCGTTTCAACTAATTAACTCGTTATTGACTTTCTATTTAAATATGCAATAGAAATAGATTGCAATTAGAGCAATTCTAGTGCTGTTCATGTTCAAAATGTATGCAATTCTGATTATTTTGCATATAAATTTATTTGCATCATAAAATTATGCGACTGGGAAATGAAAGAACTTGTCTATATAAATCATAGTTAAATGAAAGCCGCGAGCAAAATTGAATTAAATTAGATTTAAAGAAATAAAAATTTATAAAACGTACATATATAACTGATAAAAGTGATACTACTGAGAAATAAATTGGATTTGTTGGTTGCCTAAATCAATATTTCGAATCAAAATCTAAGCGTTTGTAATCGAAAAATAAATAGTAAATTGCTCAATTATTCATGTTAAGAACACAAATTGTGACTAAATTCATTATGAGGTTTCAATCATATACTCTGTCTAAAAATATTATGACTATTAATTAATTAATTAATCAACTATTAATATTAGAACAAATAACAACTTACAACATTCACGAATGCATTTCATTTGTTTTAGTTGATTTGTGTGTGGCAAAAGCAACAAGGAGGATTTCATTGAAAATTGATAATAATGACTACTACAAATTTTATAAACTGCAATGTATTCTGTACAAAATTAATATTATATATTTATATATTTTATACATACACAATATATGTATTTAAGAATAAATTAAGCTAAAAAAAGTCAGCAAAACACCAAACATGAATTGAGAAATGACAAAGAAAAAACTAAACTTTTTGACAAGATTTGGGAAAAGCAGCCTTGGGCTTTGTTAAAATCCGGGACGGTTTTATGCTAAATAAATTCAATATGATTTAAAATGTAAAATACAATTTAAGGGTACAATAGATATCAGTTTATTAAACAGATAATTTTTTTAATTATAATTACTGATTTTTAGTCAGAACGTAATTATTTAATCATGTGTTATATTATATCTTTCGATCAAAGTTTTTCTGCTTGTATAAAATTCTGTTCCATATTCTTTATGATTTAGTACCTATGCCAGACAATAAAAAAGTTCGGTTTTGAAATTTTTCTAATTTACATCAAATTCAAAATAAGTTCGAAATTAATATCAAAAAGCTATATTCAACCCCTTTGGAGTTTTGCATTTAAAATTTTTTTCAGTCGTAAGTGCATGCTTATGCTCGTTGTGCATATTATTTTCAGATATTTGATGAGTATGTTAATTTCATTATAAAGTAGATCCAAATTAAGCCTATACTTTTCGAAATCCCGGGACAATTTGGGACAAAAGATTTAAATCCAGAGCAAGTATTGCTTCTAGAAAAACCCGGTACTTTCCACCTTGTGTGGGACTGGGACCAAAGAAGCCGGGAAGAATGGTTACCTTAGAATAAAGTATTTTTGTATAAATTTTAATTCTTGTATAGACTTCAAAATCTTTATAGGCTTAGCATTATACATTAAGATTATTATTTTCATATAGAATAAATTTCAATTTTACTCAAGGTTGGCATACAAGAGTACGCCTTTTATCTATAGATTATAGTTTTTATCTATTTGTTAAATAAAATATAAGAAACGAATATAAAAAGAAAAATAATAATACTGTAAAGGGTACTTACGTGGTCTTTCATCGGGATGTTCTTGTAAAGCAGGATAGCCATCTGAGTTTTGATGAATCCGGTGTTTATGTCTGCGATGGGAATGTCTTCTGGAGCCTCCGGGCAGATGAACGCCTACGAACACGCTGTGAGCTCGGTGACCTGCTGAATCATTCGATTATTTTCAAAAAAAAATATTGCAAAACATTACAAAAGTTGTAAAAGGTAAAAATTATTTGATATTATAAAATACGAATTTACCCATACATGAAAATAAACACACAAATGCTTGATTGGATATTAGCAATTATTTCTGCATTATATCTGATCTGTGGTTTGATGACAATCTGTTATACAACTATACGTAATTGTTTTAATAAATCAGTTTTAACCAATCTTTCTCAATCTCCATATTAGTCATTATTTTCACGATTTTTTACCGTTGCAGATGAATTTGAGGCCAGTCTGGAAATTGACTGAATTATATATTGAAGAACTAAATGGCAATTATATTTCTATTTGTCATTCAAACCTAAGTATCCTGTAAAATATTTTCACTTTAGATAGTTATTAGCAATAAGCATGGCATTTATTTAGTTATAGATTGCGGTTTGCTCATGAATAAATAAATAAGCAAATAAAAACTATTAATTTATTCAGAATAACAATTAGATTCAATAACAAAAGCAAGAGCCTAAAACGCTTTAATGACAATATATTGTAACATTATTAGCTTACGTATAATTGATGAAATAAATTTGTGGTTTTATAGCCATATAAAAAAATTTAGAGAAAGATAAAATATTAGAAAAAAAAATCTGTGCTTATCAAAAGTGTAAATAGTAACATACTTCAAATTAGTATATTTAATCTAACATTATAATTATTAAATCATTATCATTGTTATCGAAATGAAGCTCTAGCGCATTATTGCGAACTTTGATGCACTTAAACCACCTGCCATAGGTTTATAATACTTTAGGATGTTCTTTAAGACTCTAAATCATCATAAAAAATTATGAACTTTTCAATTTCATTTTATTACATATAATTCACGTTTTAGTTATAATTAAAAAAATAGAAGAAACACAATTAGTTCAATATAATTTAATTATAAAGTGCTGAAGGTGTAAACTTTCCATAATCATAAATTCATAATTTTTGGATTATAAAATTTTATAGTCACTATTAAATAGCGTATTAACGCGGAAACTTTGATATTTAACTGCATCATCGCATAATTTCGCAATGAAGTACAATATGCGCTTCACTTTAATGTCGTCGATGTTACTATTTTATTGAATACTTATCTCTGAATTATGATATCACATTAAATATTTATTACAAAAGAAACTTATATTAAATCGTATTAGCATATGAATAAAATAAATATGGATTCAATTTTTAAATGACTATATCACGTTTTAAAAGCACGATTTATAATATAAGACATTGTTTATTCGTGCATATTAAGTACCTTTTATGTCAGTCAGGATGTATGTTTTTAACATGGAAAATATATATGCATTTTTAAACAATTCTGTAATAATATTTTTATAAAATAGCTCTAGAAAATGTTTCATATTTCATAATAATATTTTTCTGGCTTATTTTTATTCGCTTCAAAGAAATATACGAATACACATTTTTTAATAATAATGGTCTGTTGAAATTATTTCTTTCAATTTTTATGACCCTGGGCTTAATAGTAAACAAACTCGCAAAATCATAAAAGGCATCAAGAGTATATTTACATTTAAATTAACAAAAATTTATAGAAACAAAATTATCTGTTATATGGTCACATCAAATTATTGCTTTCATCTAGTTTTCAAAATAATTACTTCACAAATAGAACAAGTTTGTCAATAATATAGGCTAATTACTAAATTAATACCGGTTGAATTGAAATTACGTTAATTATATCGCGTTTTCGAAATGCATTGCCGACGAAGAAAACTGAAAGTAGTACTTCGGAATTTTTTAAATATTTGATCGTAATTAGTAAATATTTACATATAAAAGTATAGACACACACACACACACACACACACACACACACACACACACACACACACATATATATATATATATATATAAATAAACTTAAACATTTGTGTGTACAATAAATTGTATATTCAAACCTATCTTTCAAATTGTCTCTTTATGAATATCTATATACAAAACCTAAATCAAAGAGAAATAAAGATGCCACCTTGTGAAAGGAAAGCATCAAAGAAAATATATATCTATATGTAAATAAAATATTGTTAAGCAAACCAAATTATAGGGTAAATGATACTTTGAAAGCGATGGCCGTAATCATACTTTTGCTGGTTTAATGTGGTTAGCACAGAATTGTTAATTCAAGGGCAGAGTGACATACACAAGTTTCTTTGAATTTCAATTTCTTTCAAATAAATATGGTAAACAAATATTATATTATATATAATGTTTTATTGCCAAGAATTGAGAAAAAATATGAATATTATCTTTCTGGTACATATATCAATATTCAAAACCGGATCATAATTTTTGGCTAAAATTAAAGAAGCGGCACAAGCAACCAAAAATGAGAATTGACCCCGGGACTAGTTTGTGCTAGCCCACGTCCAGACTCAAAATTCCTCATGACCTTTAAAGAAAACACTCAACTTAATTACGGCATCGATTTTCGCAGGCAAGACGTTTGTGATATCTACGATAATAACCCGAGATAATTTAGTTGTAAATTTAATGAGGTCAATTTCTGTCTTTCAACAACTTTCTGAAGAGAAAATCAATATCATCCCATTGCTATTAATAGTCACTTCTACCCCCATTCATCAGTCCAATTCTATGAATGCACGAGTTAGTTCAAACCGTTGCACGTGCTTCCGATGCTTGTTTGTTTGAATTTCTGCATTAGTTTAGATATGCTCGGATAAAACCTCGTTAATGGAAATATTAATAGCTAAATGTTTGTAAATTTTCATGTGGATTTAATATGCAGACATAAAAACCACTCTTAACATTTCAAACCTTCAAAATTATAATACTACTTTCACTTTAAATGTGACTATTTCAAATTAAGTCTAGTCATTGTCTAAAACGATAGTAAGAAAATTTGTTCTCTTTTTCTTTTTTAAGTTTTGAAAATTTGATAATGTAAGTGCAGAATTATTAAAGTACGAAGCTATTTACCCACTTTTGTATTTTTGCACTTTTCTCTTATGTAAAGTGTGTATGTACCACACTATGTGGGTGTGTGACTATTCAAAAACCAAAAACTGTTCAGTTATTTTTTATTATAAAAATATCAGAGTAAGTGCAAAAATACAAATAGCTGAAAGCTTCTTGCAGTTATGAAATGGAGCTAAAGTATACGCATTAAATACATAGAAAAGAGATTTGATATTCCGAAGCTTTCAAATGCTCAGACGTTATCTCTTACGAAAACAGGATTTATTAGAAAAACTGTTAGTAACTTATTTAGGTGAATTTCTATCCTTATATTTTTAATATTGAAAACAGAGTCATCTGAAATAATAAAATAAAGACGTAATCCACTATAATAAATACAGAATGAAATTGAATTTATAAATTATGTAGAAGGAACTATTGATCTCCATTTCTTCATAACAGTAATATATATATATATATATATATATATATATATATATATATATATACGAGGTCTGTTCAAAAAGTACCCGGAATTACTAATAATTAAATTTCGCGGGTCTGGAGTGTCTGATTGTCAAAATTTTTTTTTATTGTGTTGGTATACATGCCCCTAAAGTATGATGAAATTTTCAGCTATATTCACTGTTTACTTTGTCTGTGGTAGTCGCTAAGGTTCGACGTGTTTTTCTGAGCTCGGCGATTTTTACAATGGAAGAATTGAAAAGTCAAAGAATTTGTATTAAATTTTTGCGTAAAAAATGAAATAAAGTGTTGCAAAGTGCAAAAATTCACCAGATATGGCTCCGTGTGACTTTTTCCTATTCCCAAAGTTGAAGAGACCCATGAAAGGACGGCGGTTTTCCTCGATTGAAGAAAATCGCTGAGAGTGCTCAAGGACATATCAAAAAGTGAATATCAAGGGTGCTTCGAAAATTGGAAAAAACGCTGGCATAAGTGTATTATATCTGGGGGGGACTACTTTGAAGGGGACCACATTAATGTAGACGAATAAATAAATATTTTTTTGAAAAAACGAAAATTCCGGAAACTTTTTGAACAGACCTCGTATATATTTATATATATATATGTATATATATAATGATTCTGAATATGTATATATATATATATATATATATATATATCTGCATTTCTGTTTTCTGCCTTGACTCACGTAACACAAATCGAAAATGACTGGAATAAAAATAATAACTGCTAACTCAAAATATAACAGTTATGAAAAAATCAATAGTAAAAATTAAATTTATATTAGAACAAATAAAGCATTATATCAATACTCAGAGTAAAATAAAAATCAAAACTTTAAATATTACCATCCGAGGAATAAATTCAATATTATTTTAAATATTCAAGATTTAGAAGATTTGGTATGTATAGCCTGAACACTATATGTGTGTATATAATAAACAAATGTTTGAATGCTTACTGTGACGTTTATTTTATTACCCGATCATTCAGCAAGTCAGTGAGTTTGTAATTAGCTTTGTTTCCAAAATCTACTATAGGGTAAATGAGTCTTTCCTTTTCCCAAGATTAATCGCAATTTTGGAGGTAACTGAGTAACTCTCTATTAAATCCATATATTCTGGAAGCAACACTTTACTTAATCCATAATTCTAACGTTATATAGTTTGTCCTGACTTTGGCAACAAGCCCGCAAGGTCGTCCATTTCGTTTGATTACATTTTTTTATGAGCGCTTGTATAAAATTTATCACACGTATTACAACATTTATATATCAGAGTATCTTTCATCTTCGCCTAAAGTTTGGTTGGAAGTATTCATTTCGAAAAATAGATGCAAAAACTGTATTTAATGATTACCATTATCATGAATTGAATTATACAACGTTTTGTTATTCTGTTCTGTTCAACATTTTCAAGTTATTCTGTTGAATATGTTTATAACATTACAAATTTTCAGTCAATTTAGTTTGTAATTAATTTAATCAAGTTGCACGAAGTACATAAATGGCAGATTTTGGTTTATATACATTTGTATGAATATACATACATACATACATACATACATACATACATACATACATATATATATATATATATATATATATACAGTAGAGTTGCTTACAATGATTATGCTTAATACGATTCCCTGCACTTCAAACACATTATAATTCTCCCGCATAGTACGCTTTCCCGTACAAGACTCGTTTTTGATACGTTTCCTGAAAACCGTATTAACTGGGTTTTAGTGTATAAAATATACATGTTTCCATAATATTACTCGAGTTAATTTTACATAAGTGATTTCAGGAAAGACTAAAGGTCTAAATACAAGTATATTAACCAGTTGACTGAGATTGACGAATACACTCGTCATGGATATGTGGCAGAATTCTGAGTATCGACGAGTATATTCGTCATGCAAATGAAACAATTTAAAAAGAAATCATTGAAGTATATTTTGAAATGTCAAGTTGTTCAAAATATTTAGAAGCTTGGTTCTTGATATTATTACTGTGTGAAATAAGTAGTAAGCGGCAGTTCACTTTAAGACAAGTTGCATGAACTTCATATGTCCAGAAATGTAGACATTTATCAATATAAATCAATAAAAAATTTCTACTGTCTATTTTGAAATAGTTTTCCCCTTTCATTAAAAATTATACTTATTCTCTATATTTGACGAATATACTCGTCATGAGATCGATTCGAACGACACAAAACTGTGCGCACTGTTCCATGTGACCATGTGGGCAACTTTTTCATCTAATATGTGCATAACCTAACGTGTAAAAACTTAGGAGCATTATTAGCGAGTTCATGGCTTTCATTTACATTTATTTTATTCAGCATAAACCTTATATATATCCCCGTGGTATATTTCGTATAATATCATGTTTCTAGGTAACCACAAAGTATTTGATGAGCACATACAGTTGGTTTATTAAAGCGAAGATATGGCTGAATCAAGCGAAATATTCACCAACCCGAAATAACTCGAGCAAATACTCCATGAGACGAATATCCAAGAATATATGAAATTCTACTTTATTTTTTGTACACTTAAGGTGTTTATAATAAATAGAATAAAATTTTTGATATATTTACTTGTTATATAAATTTATAGATGAGGAATGAAGTATTTGTTTTTGGTTCTATTATGAATTATTTTGAAGCATCATTCTGTCAATTATGTATAAAACGAAGCAAAATAAAAAGAATGAAGTAGTAGACAATTACTAAAAACAAATATTACTCATTATTGGTTAAAACAATAAAATACTATTAAAATTCAGTAGTTTTTTTAAGAACCCAGAAATCATTATCCGCCTCGCAACATTAACTGTAATGATATAAATCATAATAATAAATTTTATACTATGACTTTATAATTGAGGATATTTTGCATATAAAAATAAATAACATTACAGATATTTAGTTCATATTACAGTATGAGGGTAGGTAATTGTACATTGCATTGCAAAATAATTTGTAAAATAATCCAAAATTATGAAAATGCCTAATAATAAGATACATATGTTCAATTAGGAATCCGAGAAAGAAAAACATTACATTTGCCCTCGAGATTTCAAGAAACAAGTATCGTATGATGTTCTTTGATAAAGCAATATTTAGCAATTGTAATTACAATCATTGTATTTTCTACATATTTGTATGGAAAATATTCATATTTAATTAATGTCGTATTTAAATAATAAATATATCAAATAAATATATTCAAAAATAATAAATAAATAATTTGTAATATATAGAATTGTTTTCTTTTATCATATAGCAATTTTTGCTGTCCTGAAATGGACTACATATAAAACTGTAGGATTGAAAGAAGAGAAGACTGAAAATACAAAATTTTATAATTGTCAAAGTGCTTTTTTGATGATGTTTTGTAATATCAATATGTTCATGGTTTGATTTCATTCAATGACAAAATTCTCAAACAGATACAGATAATATATCACACACACACACACACATATATATATATATATATATATGTGTGTGTGTGTGTGTATGTGTGATATATATATATATATATATATATATATGTGTGTGTATGCATACTTTTATACCTCCATACACATAGTAAAGAACATTGGTTAGACAACAAGTAATTAAACCGAAAAAATTATAAAAATATAAAATACTTGGATGAATTTAAAGTTTTTCGCGTAGATCTTAAAATTTTTTAACAAGTTATTTAGAACAGCTATCATCACTTAAAAGCGTTGAAAGTTGTTTAGAAGGCTGCCTAAATTGTAACTTCCATCACTATTTTTTTATTTTATTATAATCACTACTCTAATAGTATTTTGATGCCAGATAAGGGGTTTTTGTACTTGTAAACATATTGCCATCTATATTTTCAGCATATAACCAATATTATACTATGGTTTGAAATCGGTTTGTCGAGGTTGCAACCAGCGACCTATTTGGAAGGACAAAGTTCTAGCATTTAAAATAAATTCTCTAGTTATTAAATTGCCTATTATATCACTTTTGAAAATCTAACATCCTACATAGTTGCAGCATTTGATTTACACACATATGTTACACAAGTGTTCTTTATTATGAAGCCATGTGCAAGTACTGACCTTCAAAGTCGCGCTCTGTATAACCCATCCGCTCGGGTTGCCGAGCGCCCGGGTCTGTGGGTGGTTCCTCACCGCTGGGGTCCATCTTCCACGGCCTGCGGAAGGAAAACAGATAAATCATTACAGTTATGCAACCTGCTTTGTGGTAATAAATTGTAACTGTCATAACATCATTTATATGCAACTTTAAAGTAAAAGATGCGTTATGTCTGGCAAGATTCAATTACTATTTTACTCCACATTCTAATTTACTTCGTGCCAAGTTACATGGTCAGAGAAAGGACTAATACTGAATCAGAATACATTTTAAGCAAATAATCATTGAAAGTTGATTTTTTTATAACAAAAGTTAAAAAACTGTATGTTATTATTTATATAATTTCCTTTGGGCATGTTTGATGTAATACCGAGTGAAAGTCTATTACAATCTTTCCCAACCTTTTAATGGTCACGCACCACCTTAACATTTCTAAAAACGATGTGGCCCTCATAAAATTTTTGACCTTTAAAATTGATCTTGTTTCTAAATATTAAAGATAGACCCTTAGAAATCGCTATTAAATTGTGATCAAAATTTCATAAGTAAAACATGTTGATAAAACGTGAACTAATATATTCATTAATGAATTTATTACCACCTACAAGTATTTATTATCATTAAAAAGTACTCAAGATTTATTAGAATACGTTATACGACGTGATCTAATGATATGATGGATATTACTTAAGATATACGATATACTTAAGATAGATATTCTTACAATTATTTACCATACTATTATATTATACTATACTATTATATATCATGGATAATATAACTATTCTATCATACTGTGAGATACCCATACCATTAATTCCAATCCTGACAATCGGTATTTATGTGTCTTATATATGTATAAGACCTTTTACTTGTTACAAACCTTACTTTCTACTATTTATACGCTATATTTTTACCTTACGCCCAATACTCTGTAATCTATTGTCTCTACTTATCTATTTCTTTTAACGAGGATTGAACCCGGGGCCCCCACGTATCGATTGATTCTCCCAGTTTATAATATATTAAAGGACGCACTGTTTTTTGCGGTTTCTTTACTAATTAATTAATTAATACTGAGATGACGCGACAACAAGCGAAAAAAGACAACCGATCTTTACTGATCTATTATAAAGTATAAGTTAAATAATATGTACCTACATAAAATTTCTAGAACAGCTAACGACGTATTAACTGCATTCTTATTGTTTGTTAAGAAATGTATTTACATATTGATGATAAATTCAGAAAACATAAAGCCAGATTATTTGAAACTAAATTATCATAAATGTATAGAAGCTTATCGATAGTGTGATAAAACTATATATATATATATATATATATATATATATATATATATATATATATCTGCTAAGGCAATACATAAAACATAAGCCAAAGATTTAACGTTTTGCATTAAGTTTTTTTTGTCATCATTAGTGGATATCAGACATTAGTCTGATGTCCTAGTTTATACACCAACCAATTTAGGGAAAAAAATGTGTTAAGTAAAGTTTTAACAAATATAATTATATAGATGTAAAATATTCTTGCAAGGTATTTTGTGTTTTCGTTTACCCGAGGCTTAATCAATATATTGAAATGTTGACTAAATTAATCATATTTTAAATTATTTTTTATTGAAGCAAGGCTCGATCATTATATTTTTTTCAAAAGACTTTTCAGAGACAGCTATCCAATTATTAAAAAGTAAGACTAAGTATATTTAAAACAATCGGAATAAATCTTTCATACGTTTAGAGTCCCAGTATGAATCTTTTTCAGTGGATAGAGTACACAAGATCAGTTTTACATAATTTAACATGTTGTTGTTTATATTTATCTATATTTTGGTTTTTGAATTAAATAAAATATTTCATATTTTTAATATTTTTGATAATTATGATCATTATACAAGTGTACTTTATTTTTTTAAATATTTGGCTTGCTTTGTCTACCGAAAAAATAATCAAACTGGAACTCTATAAATGTATGGACGACAATTTTTTTTTAAATATTATCTAGTTTTTCTTATTAGTAACTGGATAGATGCAAATATCTATAAAAATAAATAAATATGTATACACATACACATATACATATATTATCTATTGTTTGTAAAGTTATTTAGTTACTAAAATATACTTAAATGAATTAATAGTACTTCCAGAACAAATATTTTTGGGCAAAAAGAATCACATTTAAGTTCGATATATCACTAACTTTTTGGGCAAAAAGAATCACATTTTATGATTTTTCTTAAAAAAATATCAACACTATTTGATGATACCACTTAACATTAATTTCAACATCAATACCAGTTATAGACTCATAGCCGCGATTGATTTTATTGATCAAAACAATAACAATAATATGAAATTAAAACTATTTTATCTTATCAGCAAGCACAAGAGAGAAATTGATCATTAGACCTGCGTCTTCAAAAATCTTAACTGCACATGAGACGCATGATCTTCCGTAAAGAAATGCACATTATTAAAAAAAATAATGAAAATAATTTTATTACAAAACACTAAAAATAACACAAACAAGTCCTAACCTTATTATATCCATTTCTTCTGAAAGTTACGTTGCACTTGTAAACAATTTCAAACTATTTTTAAAACTATCGACAACGGCATGCAACATGTTTGTTGGCATGTGGCAATTGTACTAAAATGTGCTCCATCAGATTATGTTTGTCATACGACGAAAAGACCGTCTCAACAAGAGGATTAAACGTAATCAGATAATACGGTCACAATTATAGTTTTAATACTTTACGCTTTTTATGATATCGCTGCCTTTTTTATATAATATCATTTATCAGGCTCATCGTATGATATGCTATAAACGAACACGAGGAATCTCTACAAATGTGAAAGAAAAAGCTACTTGATATAACGGTACCAACAACTTACACAATATTTTACACAATTAGAAAATCAAATATTAAATTTCGAAAATAGCTATAGTATTTGTATTTGTAAAAATTATGATTGATATAATAATAAAAATAATACTGAAACCAAGATAGTTATATAGGATGATTAAAGTTACTCATTTTTAAGAATTGCTCTACATTTTGATTATTTTTTCAAGCTTGATCAATTTTGAGAAACAGAAGAAAGTCAATTATTTTTATTCATGTACATATTCATATTCCGTGATCCACATCAAATTATATATATATATATATATATATATATATATATATATAGATATGTACATGAATAGTACATGTAACACATGTAATAGGTAATTTTATAAAACATGAATACTGATATCAAACAGAGATATCAATGACCACGTCAAATAAAATATTACATTCAGGGAATATGATAAGTAAGTGATTTATTATTTGAAAGTAGATTACTATTGAACTTTAATTGAAATACTTACTTACTGAACTTATTAAAAATTAAAAGAATAAATATTTTCACAGAGTCAGCAGTAAGAGTTTCTAATCACACATGATAAATATTTAAATATATCAATAATTGCAAAATATTCGGACTAAAATTCTATTTTACCGATTGATTAAATATCTATTCAAGTTTCACTAAGTAAATTTATGAAGAAAATTCAATACTTGTGTACAATTTATACATTAGTTTCTTTCATATTGCAAAAGCTCCTACAAAAAACTATTTTTAATTGCGGGTTTTATTTTAGATGCATTTTAAATATAGCTCAAACATTTTGTTAGACTAATTATTTCACATGTTCCAATGATCAAGTTGGCAATAAACATTTAATTTATTAAATTATTCTTGTTGAGACTTTAGTCTTGCAGAACTTATAATCGGCGCGTGCACGATTATATATTGCGAAGCATGCTTATAAATAATTATCTTAATATAATAAAATAAATTATACACAACAATAATCGCCTGTATTAAATTTCAATTAAGTTGTATACATAGATATAAAATATAAAATGATTTTATTGGAGTAATTATCGTTGCATTCGGTTTATTTATCAATGACCAGTTCGGCAAAATCTGGTTGTTATGTTATTCGTAATACGTAATTACACGGTATTATAGTACTTGTCGAATAAAACAACTCTAAAATTTAATTATGATATATTAATAACTTAATAATTAAAAAGCATAAATGATTATATCATGTTAATAAAATATATTACTCCTTAAAATGAACAAACTCTAGTTTGAATTATAGTGATGCAATAAAGTTTCTTTTGCTAGAATGTATAAAGCTTTTTTTAAAAAATCTTATCGCAATGGATTTTATTGATTCCTTATTCAAAATTCCTGATTGTATATATTATTTGTTTTTTTTTTTTTTTTTTTTTTTATTTATTACATGGCTGTGGATCTTGCGATCATTACGCCAGTTATAATTTTACATTATTGAGTATTTATACAGTAATTTTACTATTATCTATAAAACTATATACAATTTTATATAAATCTACATTATTACTAGATATTAATACTTGTGTGTTTACTGGAAATATAATATTTTTTTTTTGCAGTTTCTGATACATATTTCTTCTTGGATTCTCATACATTCTGCATTCCCAGAACATATGATCTATTGTCTCCGGTTCGTCACCACATTGGCATATATAATCTTGGATTATTCCCAACCTCCAGAGATGAATCTTGCACATTGTATGCCCCAGCCTTAATCTTGTAATTGTTGATACGAATTTCCTACTGCTTGTATCATTTTTGAACCAGGTTGTTTGAGATACCTTTTCTTTTGACAGGGCATAAATTATACCCTTGCTTTTTGTTGACGTTGAGAAGTCTTTTTGCCACACATCTATGCTCCGCTCTTTGATTAAATTTTTCAGCTCCAACGCAGGTATTTTTTCACATTGTACTCCAATTTGACCAGCTTCTTTTGCAAGAGTATCAGCAATCTCATTTCCTGTGATACCTGAATGTCCCCTGATCCACGTCAATATTAAAGAATTTATGCCATTATTTATTGCATTCATTTTATTTATAATTTCTATTATCATGTTATTTGATCTTCTATTTGGGTTCGCTATCGCTGATATACATGCTTTGCTGTCACTAAATATAATTGTTTTCGTGATGTTTTTCTCCCACGCATAATTTACAGCACAGTATATAGCCACCATTTCTGCTGTGTAATTAGACGCATAATTTGGTAGCTTAATTCTCTTACTAAATTGTGATATGGCACAAATATAGCGCAACCACAACTGTACCCTGCTTTAGATCCGTCTGTGTAAATGTGTACATATCCTGGCCATCTTCTAGCCACATTATTTTGAAATTCTTTATTTTTTGCGGTATCATTCAAATGTGTCAAGTGAGTTAAATCCATATCCATTACTATGCAATATTTTGTTGATGTGTATTCATTCGTAAGATGATAAATTGGCAACTTTTTATTCATTATTACATCCTCTTCGTATGGTTTCAGCTCATAAAAGCTATTTATCAAGGGTGGGATTGGTCTATTTCTCCAATATATATTGGTAAAATGTAGCCTCGCTAATACTTCTAATTGTTTCGGTATATCATCACATGCTCCATTATATTTTTTTATTAAGAATCTATTTGATAGGATCTGCTTTCTAATGCTTAGTGGAGGTTCACCTGCTTCAGCTATTAATGCATTCGTTGGAGTTGATCGAAATGCCCCCAAACATGTTCTTATCGCCGAGTATTGAATCCTGTCCAACTTTTTTTGGATATTCGTTGAGAGTGCTCCATATATAAAGTAACCATAATCTATTTGTGATCTTATTAAGCTTCTATATATATTGAGACAAGTTTCTGGGTGAGCCCCCCATTTCATGCTTGTTATTTTTCTGAGAACATTTAATCCTTTTTCACATTTGCTTAATATATCATCTACATGCTTTTTAAAATTCATTTTCTTATCCAAATTGATGCCCAGAACTTTAATATTTCTTTTATTTGTATCTCCTACATCCTGACATCCTATCCTATTTGTCTCCTAGTATGTTCTTTTCTGTGTCTGGTAAAGATAGCTGCAGAAAACTTATCCTGTGATAATTCAGGTTATTGTCCAATAACCATCTTCTGCTCTCCTCGATAGCATTGCTCATCGATGAAATACATCTATCCATAGTTGGACAAGATACATACAGATAAATGTCGTCTGCATATTGCAATTTTTTAACATTCGGTTCTGTTACTACTTTAAAATCTGCCATGTATATATTAAACAAGATGGGGCTCAATATTGAACCCTGAGTGAGACCTTTGTTCATAACTCTAGGGCCAATTAGACCTGAGTCGGTTCGAATATATAATTGTCTAAAGATAGTAAATTAATTATCACATTAATTAATTTGTGTGGTAAATTTAAATGTTTTAATTTTTTCTCCAGTATATTGTGATCTACATTGTCATACGCCTTTTCTATGTCCATCGAGATTACCAACATATATTGATTATACGAATTGGATATATGTATATCATTTGTTAATTTGCTCAGTAAGTCCAACGTACTTTTCCCTCTCCGGAAACCAAACATAGAATTATTTAAAACTTCTTTATTTTCAATATATCTATCTATTCTCTCTTTTACAATTCTTTCAAAAGTTTTAGCGATGCATGATATTAAGGAAATGGGTCGATATGAGTCTATTTCCAAGGGTCTTCTGTGTGGCTTCATACATGGAACTATTATAATTTCCTCCTCCACTCTTCGGGAATCCAATTATTTGCTATGATTTGGTTGAATACAGTTAGTAATTCAATTTTCATTTCCGTAGGCCAATTTTTTATCATCGTATACGGTATATTGTCATATCCAGGAGCCGTATTTTTCCTCTTTTTTAATGCATCCTCTAATTCCTCTAATTTGAAATTCCTTGTCAGTGCGCTTTCTTCACAATATACTCCTATATTTTCTTTACGATTGTCCGAAACAAAGTCTGGTGCATAATTTTGTAATAGTAATTGCCCAAATTCTTTTTTAATTTTTTGTGTTGTGTTTATAATGTTATTTTTATTTTTAAAAAGTCTAATTTTGTTCCAAATTACTGTGGGACTCATGTCCTGATTGATGGAATTAATGAAATTCAGCCAACTTTCTTTTTTCTTGTTTTTCAAAAACTTTTTAGTGCGTGCATTGATTTTTTGGTATTGTATGAAGTTTTCGTAATTACAATGCTGACGCATCTTTTTATATGTTGTTCTTCGATCTGAAATGGCTTTTTCGCAATCTTGATCCCACCATATCGCTGGCTTAAAAATCGGTCTCTTAATTTCTTTATATTGTTTTATATTTTTCTCTGCAGATTTTTCGGTAATCTGTATGATACGTTTATATCTCGCTGTTATATCGTCTGAGATTTGTCCTGTTTGGATATATTGCATAATATCTCGGGAGTATCCCTGCCAGTTAGCAATTTTATATTCCACTTTTTTGTAGGGCGCGTTCTTATGACCAAAGGCACCTTTATCTCCAAAGTTATTGTTATAGGCAAATGATCCGATCCCAATACCTCTTGGCATACATCCCATTTAATAGTATCTATAAAATTTCCTGAGCACAGTGTTAGATCTATGTTCGTAGCACTCCTGTATTTATTTGCTACTGTAGTTGGACGTCCGTCATTAAGAATTAGTATTGCGTTGTCCTCTATGATTTCATATAACATATTACCTTCC